TTTGTGGTTCTATGCATAGAAGTGGAAAACTCGAGTATATGATCCCAAGACCTTAAATCCCACATCAAACAGAAAAGCAAGCAACACCTGACCCTTTTTTGTCTGTTTATACAAAGTTCCGGCGTTTTCTTTTCTCGACAAAATTCTGCTGGTGTAGTTACTTCACAAGTTTCTGTTTTTCCTTACTAGACAGTCTTTGAGTGTTACTGTAGAAAATCAAGGAAAAATTAGTCTATATCACCAGTTTCCAACCTTTGGTCCCCAACGATTATGTTTAATAGCAATCCAGTTTAAATGAATGAATGATTGCCGTAGACTACTAATCACATCCTCGCTGACAGGTTGTTGTATACCTAGTATGCACGGGCCCGTAATACAAGGTGGGACTTAGAATCTTTGACTAAATTGGTAGGGGCCGCGCGTACGCTGGCCCCCTCTGCCACAAATTATGACGTAGGCTCTTCCACTTGGGAAGACCTTAGGCAAGTGCACCTCCGAAGTGCAATGGAGGCCACTTCCCTAGGCCATGAGTCTTATTGATCACCCATTGACCCCGTCCAGGTAAGTATGTTGCAACGTGGAGCTAGCCTTGGCTTTTACGTCCAGTCTCGCCTTATCTCTTTTCGAATCTGTCGATGTGGGATTCATTTAACATCTTTTACAGTAACACAAGTCCTCATAACATTCCTATTAAAGGTGTCAAAACCACCTGTAATCTAGCCTCACATTCTCTGTACTGTAAAATTCAATTTGAGCATAGTGCTGCGATAAATACAAGATACCAAATTTTGGATTTGCAGATAAAATTGGCTTAATATGATCATTGATAAGAGACTAATATGGTCAAGATTGAGTTCCCTAACCGTGTAAGTTTTATCATCTATCTTGCCATAGGTGGATTCACCATCAGTCTAGCGGTTAATGTTCTAAACCGAAGAGTTTGTGATTTTTAAGAACTTCCTAGCTCTCCTCATACAAGTGACTCCATTACACATAAGTAGAGTTGTACGTATTACATTATCCCCTCTACCAAATTAACCCAAGTTCAAAAAATTATTGTGATTGTAACTGATTCTGCTGCAATCTTGAAGGAAAGTTCAACAGTAAGCTTTCCATTTAAAAAATTCAATCCCCTGGCATTCAATCACTATAGTCCAACCATAGAGCATGCGAGAATACCTTAATTTATATCTCTTATACACTCAAACCATGCATTGGCATACGAGGATACCTTAATTTATATATCTTATACACTCAAACCATGAGTTGTATGGTGAGCACAAAGCGAATTATTCTTTCCCCTTTTACTAAAGAATACCAAGTGTTTGCCACTTACAACGACATATGCTAATTTTTTACTTAGGTACGATTTTGCTGCTCTTTTGAAGTCTTGAAGATTGGTTTCTTACATGCCTGCATCTAAATTTCAATATAAAACTTTATCACCAAAATTGTTGATGATTTCTTTGAACAAATTAGCCTAAATTAGAGAACTTGTTAGCTATCTTGTTGATATGGTACATGGGAATTGGCACATGAATTAAATGGTTTAAGCAGAGATCCTAGATGATGTAAATCACTTTCATAGTTTTACAACTAATTGTTTGATGGTGTATGGAGAACGAGGTGAGATACGAATAAATGCATTTTTTGCATTCTAGAATAAAGTTCCGTTTGAAATTAACTTCTTTCTTTTTGGATGAATAAATCAAAAGTAGTGTACGAATACAATCAAATCATTAAAAAATTACAGAGGAAAAAGGGAGCCAGCGAAAGATCATTATTTTTCTGAAACATGTTTAACTGAGGATGTTGTATCGATACATGATATCATAACATTCTTGTTGGAGCTCCTTACAGCCTAATTTATCTACTTCCTCATAAATAATCTGCTGCTGTCAGTGAATGGGGAGGTTGTCTTGAGGATGGATGAAATGGATTTGCTGGATTTCTTCGATGCATGGAAGTGGAAAACTGGAAGTAAACGACCTTAAGACCTTAAATCCCACATTGATGGAAAAGGCAACACCTCACCCTCTTTTTAGCCCGTTTCTGCAGATTCCCTTCCTTGCTTTCTTGGCAATTCTGCGAGTTTAAGTCTACTTCACGGCAGCCAATCCTTTGTCATGTAGAAAAACTATTCTTGCATTAAGGATTATGCACAAGCAGCTTAATGACGATCCTTAAGTGTATAAAATTAGTCTTAAGCACTCAGTTTACAAGCAAAGTGCTGGAGGATAACGTTTCGTGGAGGATATATTATGAGGCAAACTAGTCCAAGGCACCCAGTTCACAGCTTGCATATGGACAATACGGTACTTCAATGTTTATCCAGGAATCAGAACATTAGCAAGAGGTTAGAAAGAGTCCAATTGGGATTCCTAATGACATAAAATTTGCAGCCAGTCTAGTCAGGTCTAACCAACAATTTTAGGCAGAAGCAGAGCTCTTCAGAGAGAGATCTTAAGCTACCGATTTGGATTAACCTAAAACAGCAAACGAAACTTCAATTTAGAATTGATAGGGGCCGCGCGAACGCAGGCCCCCTCTATCACAAATTATGACGTAGGCTCTTCCATTTGGGAAGACCTCAGGCAAGTGCACCTCCAAAGTGCAATGGAGGCCACTTCCCTACGCCATGGGTCTAGTTGATCACCCATTGACCCCGTCCAGGTAAGTATGTTTAAATGTAGAGCTAGGCTTGCATTTTATATTCAACCTTGCCCTTTTTCTCTCCTCATCTGTTGATGCGGGATGTATCTATCCTCATAGCATTCCCAAGTCCTAAAAACTGTCACCGTGCTTGTAACTGTTAGCATACCATATAGTCAGAAAACAAGTTGAAATTTTAGACAGATTTCAGGTTTAAATTCCTTAATCTTTGTTTTTAAATTTTTTTTTTTAAAAAAAAAACAATAGGGCCATCTGATATGTCCCTAGATGCCCAGTTTCTTAAAAAATTATGTTACAACATCCATACGGTGTTCAAATAAATGCTTCATTCTTTCAAGATTTTGAACCTGAATGCCTGTATCAGATAAGATTTTTGAAGTACCAAAATTGTGTCAAGTAACTGTTCTTAGGGAATTTCTTCTTCTGATCTTTCCAAAATGAATATGTTGCCTTTATCATCTCTCCCTATCTTCATTTTATGATCCACATATCTATAGTGATCAAATCAAGGAACAAATTAAATGCATTCTTTGCCATTCCGATATCATGCTGTTGTGGAAGTAAAAAGAAATTTTCTTTCGTTCTTTTTAGATGAAGGAATTAAAGCAGTATACCACAAGATGCATAAGTACCAAAAAAAAAAGGATACGTGATCTCTAGCCAACCACTGGATTAAAGATTTGCTAGCAAAAGATCATAATTTCTTTTGGGACGTATTCATCGACTGACCATATGAAATTTGAAGTTAGAAGAATATTTAATACCATGTTTTCTCTTTTATTTTTTCTTCAGGAATCCGAAAAATATCTAAGTATAACATGCAGAGTAACCAGAAGGCGTTTCTTGAACTGATGCGCCTAATCTGCAGCATACCTGGTCAGGTGTGACTGTTGAGCTGTCATAAGTTATGTCCACTTTCTGTATAATTGTCGAGCCCTTCTGAGTTCTGGATATTGGTTTCTTAATCATTGCTTGCTTCTGAATTAATTTCAGTTGGTAAAACTTGTAAAAGATTAGAGAGGAAAAAGGGAGATTAGAGATTGCTAGCAAAAAGATATAATTTTTCTTTAACATGCTCCACTGATCTTTAAGGTTGTATCCTGACATTCTTGTTGGAGTTCCTTATAGTCTAAGTTACCTACTTCCTCACAAGTTATCTGCTGGTTAACTTGTCAGTGAACAGTAGGTTGTCTTAAGGATGAAAGGGATTTGTTGTTCTTCAATGCATAGAAGTGGAAAGCTGATAGTAAAACTACCCTGAGACCTTAAGTACCACATTGAATGGAGAAAGTGAGCTACGCCTGACCCTTTTTTCAGTCTGTTTCTACAAGTTCTAGTGTTTTTCTTTCCTTGTAGGCATTTCTGCAAGTTTAGTTACTTCACGGAAAAACTATTATTGTACTTGAGATTATGCTTGTCCACATTTATGAGCAAAATCCTTGACGATAACCTTTCTTGAAAATTATATGTGACACAATTAGTTTCAACCAACCAGTGTATATCCTGTCTGGCATATGGTGACAAACATTTCAATGGATGTATATTATATTCTGAGAATCACTAACGTCTTCAACGTACTGCTGAAGCAATGAAGTCTTGGCAGTTAGCCAGCTGAAGCAGCCAGTTCTCGTTCGCCTTGACGCTTTAAATTTCAGCTATGTCTCCAGGCACAAATAGCTTCATTTCAATTGGTAGGGGCCGCGCGAACGCAGGCCCCCTCTGCCACAAATTATGACGTAGGCTCTTCCGCTTGGGAAGACCTTAGGCAAGTGCACCTCCCAAGTGCAATGAAGACCACTTCCCTAGGCCATGGACCTTGTTGATCACCCATTGACCCCGTCCAGGTAAGTATGTTTAAATGTCGAGCTAGGCTTGTCCTTTATCGTCCACATTAGCTTTCCTCTTTTCTCATTTGTCAGTGTGGGACGCATCTATCCATTTTCAGAGTAGTACTAGTTCTCTAAATCTCATAGCACTCCCTTATAAGGCGTCAAAACCACCTCTAATCTCTCCACTTTGAACATTATACTGAGATAAATACAACATATCTAACTTTGGATTTGTTGATCAAATTGGCTAATGTGATCATTGGTAAGAAAGGAATATGATAAAGATTGGGTTTTCTAAATTCGGGTTCTCCTCATACCAGTGACTCAGAGAAGTAGAGTGCTACATTTTGTGTTTCATTGCCCCCTTCCCCAAATTAACTCAAGTCCAAAAAAAAAATTATTATTGTGCTGGTAAGTCGTAGCATATCCAAAGTTAGAAGACGAACTGAATTTTAGACAGGTTTTAGGTTGAAATTCCTTGATCTTTATTAAGGAAGAAAAAATCTAGAAGGCCATCTAACATTGTGCCTAGTTAGCCAGTTTCTTCAGATTTATGTGTACAACATACCTACAAAAAATTAACAATGTTCAAAGAAATGCTTCAAAACTTTCAACAAACAAGATCTTTAAAGTTCCAAATTTTTATTTGAACTGTTCTTAGGGCATTTCTTCTTCTGATCTTTCCAAAATGAAGATATTGCCTTTGTCATCTCTCCCTATCCTCATGTTATCATCCACATATCTGCATTGCCCCAGGTCAAGGAACAAATGCATTATTTGCCATTTTAATGCCATGCTCTTATGGAAATTAAGAACATGTTTTCTTTCCTTTTAGACAAAAAAATGCATGAGTGAATAAAAAAAGGATACGTGATCTCGAGCCAACCCTCTGGATTAAAGATTGCTAGCAAAAGATCATAATTTTTCTGGAACATATTCATCAGCTGACCAAATGAAAAATTGAAGTTAGAATAGTAAAGTTTAACAAAGGAAATTACAGGGTAACCAGAAGGAGTTTTCTGAGGCTTTACCAAAAAATTTCATGTGCTCTTGAATGCAGCATACCTGGTCAGGAGTGATTGTTGAGCTGTCATAAGTTATGTCCACTTTCTGTACAATTGAGGGCAAAAAAAATTAATAAAATCCCATTTCGTTCATGATTTTGTAACTTTTTATGAATATTTTGGCTTCTATTAAAAAAAAAAGGGAGTTTAGAAAAAGGAGGAACTTTTACTGATTTTGATGCAATCTTGAAGGAAGCTTCAATTGTCAGCTTTCCATTTAAGAAATTCAATCCCTTGGCATTGAACTTTATCACATTAACTGCTTTGCTCTCCATTTTTACATCCCCAAATGCTAAAAATGTTAGTAAAGGGACAGCCAACATTGCCAATTTGCAATCACATGAGCACAGTTTCATGACACATGAATATGAAGGGAATACCTTTTGGACATCAATGGTCTGGAGAAAATCTCCCAAGGAGATGAAATCTCTCAATCCCAGCTTTGTTCTTTTTGAACCCAAGATTGTAATTGTACTGTAGACAAGCTTCCAGCAGCCACCGACCTTCCAATTATAGAAACAAAACTGTAATTACCTGTAGAAGTTAGTTTCCAGAAACCCATATATGCAGCTGGATTTTACCTTATGTAGATTCAGAGTAGGATCTGGAGTTGGGTTTTGAGATTCAAGAAGTTTCACCAAACCTTCAATCTTAGACTTCTTTGTAGATGGTACTCCAAAAATCCCTCTATTGAGTCCTTAAGATATGAACAGAAAGGCAGATGCAAAGAAAGGTATTCAGTACTTCATTCCAGTATTTTCATTATAGCAATCAAAAGGGAATGTCCATACCATCGAGTGCCTTGTACATGTCTGTTTTAAGCTGGTGAAGAGCATTCAAATTTGATGGTTCCTTTTCTTCTTGCAACTCCCTCTCATCACCAACTAAGCCAGGGTTGTGTTCAGCTACTTTGATGGGTCTAATCCCAGATGGACATTCACCAGATCTTATGCTCCTTATCCTCAAATGTGTGGCTGTGACTGCTCTGTAAGATATCATCTTTTGAATGGTACAGGACATTCGAGGCAGCACTTGGGGGGATGGGGTTGTGGGCTGAAGAAACTTGTCGGCCATGAATGTAGTCATGAGTACAAGATGCTCTGGAAGGAGAGATGTGAGTTCAGGTCCAAGACTGAAGCAACTTTAAATTTGACCATCCTCTATCATTGTTTATTGTTAGGTTTACGTTAGGCCTACCGCCAACATGCGTTCATTGGTTTTTGGCTCATTTATTTCGATTTCAATTAATTTGAGTTCAGTTCTCATGGCTAGTATATAATTTTAAAATTGTTGGGCTGCGGACTATAGCAACATATTGTTGGCAATATTAAAGCCATCTTATACAATCCACATGGCATGCACTATAATATAGTTCCAAGAAGGGTAATTCTTCCCATACTCAAAGTTCAAAATCTAAACATTAACACAAGTTCAAGTGTTTTGACTGTTTAAGCATCTGATTTAGATTTTTCTGACTCTTGCTGTTGTTCCCACTGCTCAGAGGTAAGAGCTTTCTTTATGGAGAGAGCATGGATTTGCTTCATCCCTTCTTCAGGAGCACCATTCACCATGCGATGCCTCTCCAGCAGCCTTTTCCCTTCAAATTGTTCAGATACAATCTCAATTGCAAAACCTGCCCCACACCTGATCAAGATACAAAATTCTTTGTAGAAAATAATCAGTTGGAAGAATAGACGACTGGATCAAAACAAAATTCAAACTAAAGGCTTGTTTGGTGGAGTTTTTTTGAGTTTTTACTTTTTTAGTACTATTTATGAGTTATAAGTTTAAATTTTTATTGGAAAGAAAATTTAAAAATTGTTTTTAAAAATAATAAAAAGTAAGTAAGAAATGAGCAAAAATGAAATTTATAAAAAGTAAAAAGTTTTAAAATTTTAAAATTTTCAAAATTCACTATTTAAGGTTTTTTTAAGGTTAAAAAAAAAGTTAAAAAATGTAAGTTTTTAAGAGATAAATTTAAACTTAAAAAACATGAATAGTATAAAAAAACTGAAGCACTTACAAGCTTCACCAAACATGTTCTAAATTTGTTCATAGGGAACTTACCCTCCGGATGTATCGATTACCTCCCGAAAAACAAAAGTAAAAGAATTAGTTGACATGAAAGTAGCATCAAGTGAACATGTGCTCTGAATAGAAACACATCTTGAGAACCCTGAAGAATATTCAGGCCAGTTACAAATCATCATTGCATCATTTTCATGGAAGGAAATTTGCAGATTATGCAAAGAGATTGCCAAGCAATGTTCAGACGGTTCGCCAATAGCAATTCATATATAATAACCAGAGACATCTGCATCATAGATTTCAAAATGAATGAGGAGCTAAAATGTGATGACACAAAGAGGCAAAAGGGAGAGCAACGCATTCAAGACTGAGCTAATTTGCTTCCTGGTCACAAGGTTGAGAGATTCCTACCGAGGTAACCTGTCAACCAAACCTCTATGTTGCAACTCAGGTCATCTAATTTTCAAGGAAAAATGCATTTAGACCCAAAAGTCAGATGCAAGAAACTTATGACAAGAATATTTGGAGAATGCTTTTAATAAGAAAAGCATAAAGTCCACTGACTTATGCTTTGCAGTGTATGCTTTCAAGAGACTGAACTAAAGAGGCAGCAGATGAAGAGATCCATAGTGAATTTTTCTATCAAAAATTCATAACATACAGATGGCAGATGACGCGTAGCATTTGCTCAAAATCATATTTGCTCATTAAGAATGCTATTGCTAATATTCCACTTTGGCTGTGAACAACAACAGACCCAATTTGCAAGAGCTTCTACCTCTGTCCTTGTAATTTAAGGCTACTAGCATATAACTTTCAACACATCATTAAGAATTTCATTATCTTATAAAGAGTAGATTCACCCTTGAAGATTGTTTTTACGATTAGAGATACTGGCTTTGAAAGAAGATTAGAGAGGCATCAATGTTCCTCATTTTCATACATATAAAGACATGTAAACTCAAGTACAGTTCCTCCTAAACATCCATGATTCCATCCAAATCATACCATAAAGTGAAATTTTAATAGCAAGAACACCCTACAGGCACTCTAACACAAGAACCACAAATATTCACAGTGACATATTCTGTACTTTTGAACTAACTGATTCAAAAAATGTCAGAGTTAAAAGGATGAGGAAAAGGAAAAGCTCAAGCCTGTAGCCTCACACAAGCTTGAATCTTGATGACCTACTCTAATCAAACCATGCTTCACCATCTCTTTTTCAAGCATCATGTCAGGGTTCCCCCAGATTCCGGGGATTAATCCATCTATATCCTACACCAATCATGAAAACAATTGGGATACGCTCTGTATTAACAACCAAGTGAATTACCCATTTAATATATTCTCTTCTTTTTTTACGTTTCCAGCTCATTCTCAACATCCCAAAAGAACTATCTAAAATTTTGAGATTGGCCACTAAAACTATTAGGGATATCCTTGTATATCTGGGCTTAAACCTACCCGGAATTGATTGGAAGGAGAAAGCAGAACATCAAATAAGAACAAACAAGGAAAAAAGAATCGAACCCACATGCTCAAAATTTCGAATTTCAGAAAAAAAAAAATACACAAAACAAAACAAAAACAAAAATAAACATTTGGGTGCTGAAACATATCTACATGCACTTAGATGCAGTAAAGAAGCAGACTTTATTGTTTTCTTGTGCTGGAAAGCAAGGGACAATGAAGGAATACAAGTAGAGCTTACAAGATGAGAAGGGTTCAATTTCGAAGTCAATGAAGATTCAACTTGCTCCTTTGTCACTCCCATCTCTCTTTGTGGCTTATGCTTCTCCACTTTGGGTCAGATGGCCAGAAAAGAAAATAAGACTGCTTGAATTCAACAATGGACCAAAATACAAAAAGCAGAGGTGATAATTTCCCGAAATATTTTCAAGCTAAAACAAATTAATAAAAACAATGATCAATACATTGTTATTTTAAAATTTTATTTTAAAGAAATTCACATAGTGGATTTTTTTTTGTTAAATTGTAGTTCTTGAAATTTAATTGAAAGTTATGTTTTTTTTCTTTTTGATAAAAAAAAAGAAAGTTATGTACTTATGTTATTTGTTAAATTTAAGTGGATTTTTCTAAAATAAAAATTTAAGATGGTTATTTGTTTTAACTTTTTTTGTTAGATAATAATTTATTTTAATTTAAAAATATTAAAAGATAATTTAAATTTTAAATAAAAAAATA